CCCAGGTCCTGTTGTAGCACCCTGTGGATTTAGGAATCCCCAAGGACACAGTCCTGGGAAGCTGGATAAGCTGCAACGCCCTGATGTTACAGGCTTGTGTGGGTTTGGGCACAGGCATGAGGTGCGGGTCTTACTCAGAGGGTTTTGATGGAAAGCTACGTGTAAAGTGGCAAAGGGAGGCTCAAGGTTCTCTTGGTTGCCCAAGAGCACCCTCAGCTTGCCGATGCACGGTGGATCCTGCCCTGGGGATGGGAATGGGAAGGAGGGATTTGGGAAACGGCGCTACGGCTGCTCCAAAAATCAGATGGCGAATGTGGTCAGCCCGTGGGTCAGCGGTGCCCAGCAGGTACTTCAGGAGCAGCGTTTGTATTGCAGCTGGTGGAAACATGGAGAGAATATTTGAGAGGAGGTGGGAAGAGTCAGGAGAGAAACGGGCACGGACGGGGTCAGCTGATGGTGCCAGATACCTTGAAGTGGGATGTTTTCCGATTACATCTGCATTTTAAAACTAAGATGCTCTGGGATTGCAGAGGCTTTAACAAAGCAAAGAGAAAAGGCAAGCTGAAGGAAAGCCTGTAGAAAAATTGCTGCTGATGTGACCAGGCAGATCTCCACGGGTTCCTACGCAGCGATACCTGCCCGGGAGCACGCTGGACTCTGCTCACATCTGTCCTACCCCACCGGGCAGGGGCACCCTGCCACCGCAGCAGCGCCCCTCCGCACATGTCACTACACCAGGCATTTGGGTTTGCTTGTAATTTTACGTGGTTACCCAGCGAGCAACCCCTTGTATTTACACCTACGGAGCTGAGCACGGCGTTACTGGGATGACTAATTACCAACAGGAGAAAATCCTTTGAATAGCATCAGCTCTCCACACAGTTGTGATTCAGCAGCTGTGACTGCACCACTAATAATTCTCTAATGTAAGAGAAGTATGGTTTATTAGAACTCACTTTCATCCCTTTGTATTAAGCATGAAGCAATGTTGATTAGTGTGCTGTTAAAGAGATCTAGTTTATTCCCCGGTTTTCATTTTCTTTATTATCATTATTACCTCATTACATCATTATATCATTATTTCAGACGGGAATTTTCAAAGTAGCTCGGTGCAACTGGGCACCTTCCTGGCTTTAGAAGCTTCTTTTTGAAGGTCTCAGTTCTAGCTCCCCCTTACTTTAGGACAGATTTGATCCAAGTTTTATCCTGGGTGTTTCCAAGTGCCTTGCAAAAATCAGGTGGTTCTGCTGGTATGTTGTGCAGCTGAGGTGAGACTCAGCCCTAATCTTGATCAGCAGCTGACTTTGAGACAGCTTGCTTCTGCCTCTGAAACAGCTGGCCCAGTAGTTGAGCATCTGCTTTTGTTTTCCCCTAGTAAATAAATAATGCAGTGAATGATGACAGGACTTGACAGGGCTTCATGTCAAGACTGAAGTTCCTTGAGAAAGTCCTCTGGGATTTTTGTGCGGGATAGAAAAACTCCAGAGCAGTATGAAATAGGTCTAAAAACCCTTTTTTGTTGTTGTTTGGGATAGGAGGCAGGCATTACAAGGCTGCTCGGTAAGGATAGAAGTGGATTTAAAACGGGAGAATACCATGGAGTCAGTGACGCAGCAATTATCAGAAAAATAAGAAATGATTTTGGAAAAACATGGGAAGTGTCCACACATAGAGTGGGAAAGAACTGGGGCCACTAGAAATCAGGCTGTGACCAGGTTGTGTATAATCCAGTTCTGGCCCTAAGCATAAACTGTTCACGAACTGTGTTAATTTTTAGTCAGCTAAAAACGAACGACGGTGAGACAAAAGACGTGACAGCAGGAAAACGCAGAAGCACAATGAGCACAGAGGTGGGGAGAAACACCCAGGGAAGCTTCTTGGTGCTGTCAGAATCCTTCCGCTGTTGTTTTTTTTTTTCCCTCAAAGCAAGGAGAGGCCACCTGGAAAGGGAAGCGTTGCCTCTTCAGCCGTCGGAAGTTTGCCTGCTGATACCTGAGCAGCAATCTCCGAGCCTGACACAAGGACATGCCTGTGCCCCAGCGGGGAGGTGGGAACTGGTGGTACCAGCGTGTCTCTAGCTTATCTGCAGCTGCTCCGTTGTTACTCCTTAGTTTCTCAGCAGCACCTGAGCCGTGGGGGGATTGCAGCTGCTGCCCCACTGGTGGGGAAGGGTGTCACAGCACGAACCACCTCCTCATGCAAAGCCCGTTTGGTTCCTGGCACAGGTCTGCTCTCCCCGAGTCGCTGCTCAGAACAAAGACAGGCACACGCCCAACAAAGTGGGCGCTGGTGTGGGCAAAGGCTTTCTCCAGCATCAGGAAGAATGAAAACCATTCGCAGGCCTCGAGACGAGGGCGAGCTGCCGTTGCAATACGTGGCCACGCTCACACCAGCATCTTGCTCCACAAGAAGCCCTTCTTCTGCAGCACAGCCTCTTCAGCATCCCCTCAGACCGGGACAAGGGACCAAACAAACCTGCCCGGAGTTTCTGCACGGTTGGGATCCCTGTCTGTTCCTGCCCAAGCAGACCCTGGCACCAGCTGAGCAGCTGCAGAAATGGTTTCAAGTGGGGAACTGGACCATTTTCTCCCTTAAATGTCTGTTGCTTCATCCTGTCTTGTCCCCCTGACTGAACAACTCCAACTGCAGCCTCAACACCCAATAATCCTGGCACGTGGTGGTTCAAGGGCTGGCACCAGTCACCGCCCTGCAGGAAGGGGAGTTGTTAGCTCTGGGAAACACTCTGGTGCTTTGCACTATGTTGGCATCAAGACCCCATCTGCCACTGGCTGCCCCCCCCTTGTGCCAAGGTTACAGAGTCTGCAGCTACCCGCTCAGCCAGGTCTGAGGCTTTATTTTAAGGCCAGGTCCTCAACAGGCATAAACTGGGAGAAGTCGATTGTCTACACTGACCACGGGAAACCTGGGCTGCACCCAGAGCAGGGTGGGCACAGGGCCAGGGGGGGATTCTCCCCCTCTGCTCCGCTCTGGGAGACCCCCCTGCAGGGCTGGGTCCAGCTCTGGGGCACCAACAGCAGAAGGACACAGACCTGCTCCAGCGGGGCCAGAGGAGGCCACGGAGATGCTGGGGGGGCTGGAGCCCCCCCTGTGAGGACAGGCTGAGAGTTGGGGGGTTCAGCTGGAGGGGAGAAGGCTCCGGGGAGAGCTTAGAGCGGCCCCCCAGGGCTGAAAGGGGCTGTGGGAAAGGGCAGAGGGACTCATCATCAGGGGGAGAGGGACAGGACGAGGGACAAGGGTTTATACTGTCAGAGGGGAGATTTAGATGAATCTAAGGCAGAAATTCTCCCCTGTGAGGGGGGTGAGGCCCTGGCCCAGGCTGCCCAGAGAAGCTGTGGCTGCCCCCTCCCTGGCAGGGCTCAAGGCCAGGTTGGACGGGGCTTTGGGCACCCTGGGCTGGGGGAAGGTGGCCCTGCCCGGGGCAGTGGGTGGCACTGGGTGGGCTTTAACATCCCTTCCAACCCAAAGTATTCTGTGATTCTCGTTAGTAAGCACCATGTGTTGGGATAAGCAATTATTTCTTCGAGTTTAGCCTGTGAAAGAGACAGGCACCACCGGTCTGCGCGGGGAGCACAGGAGGGGCAGGGGACGGGAGTGACACCAAGGGGCCACGCAGAAAGGTGGGTGCCTGGGGTGACGGGAGGCCAGGGCCGGGCAGGTGGTCTGCAGGAGAAACTGAGGAGAACCACGTTCCTGCAGACTCTCAGAAATATTTTATTTGCCCCTTTTAGAGTTGTTATTCTCCAAACCAGGCCCTGTGGCCCACAGAACCAGGGGAAAACATCTGTGGCACCATCTTTAACCACATTTTCAGTTACAACTCCTGTGAGGGGGGAAGAGCTCTGGGCTGTCCCGTCCCGAGGTCGGTGGCACAGGGAGGTCCTCAGGTGGGTGTAAAGGTCCCTTCAGCTGCAGAGTTTGTCCTGCTGTAGTCCAACAATACTAAAAGAGTGAAGCTTTGCAAAAGTGGGGTCTTGGGCAGCACGAGAGTTACAGAGAAGATAGCCAGACCCTGAAGACGCCCCTTAGCCAGGGGTACCCTCATTTCAGGTCTCTTAGTCGGAGCTGAGCTCTTAACATCTATGCCCCTTGCTCTCCTGTTGAATGTCCCGGCAGTGAGGCGCCACAAACGCGCTTTGTCACATTTTAGAGCTGTCCTACCCCTGGTTTCCCGGCCCCGGCTGCAGGTCCCCCGGGGCCTGGCTGGGGACCGTCCTCTCCCCCCGAGGCAGCTCAGCTCCGTGCTGACGTCTCCCCGAGAGCCGCCCAGGGACCCGCGGCTTTTTGCAGACTTCCAGATGGGAAGGCCTGATCCAAGCCCAAGGTCGTGCTCAGCAAAAAGCCCATTCTAGAGAAAAAAAAAAAAGAAAAAAAAAGAGAGAATTGTCATGCAGGCAACGCAACACCCCCTTCCCGGTCACAGGCAGAGTCGGGGATGGTTTTAATTGTCACGGTGGGAGATGTTGCTGTCGGTACAAGCTGGGACTGGCTGTCCTCAGGGATCAGGGCTAAACACATTGCGCCTGTCAAGCAGCAAATGTTGTCCCTCTGCTCCAAAGCACCCTCCAGCAAACGGCAACGTCCGCGTTAACCCGCCCAGAGGCTGCGCGGGGCCCCTCGGGGGTCGGTGCGGCCCTGAGGGCCGGCAGCCATTTTGTGGCCTGCGGGGCGGCGGGGATGGGGAAGGGGCTGAGCCCTGCTGTCTCCCGCCGGGCTCCCTCTGCTACCCGC